TAATGCACTGATGTTGGGAAAATGAACAAAACTTCCTGCTACTTATACTTCAGCCGTTTCACTATAAAACATGTAACTTCAACACAGCCCCCTCTCCAACCCCTGCTCGATCTTACTAAAGGCAACCAACCACCATCCCACAAATTCAAAGCAAATAGGGAACTATCATATTCTTTGTATATTACATTAATTATAGACATATTGCCACTTTCTCTTATACTGTTTTTGGTAATACTGTATGGGAGGAATAAGACAACAAATTTGTCATAAACCATTTACAACTGCCACACTTTACTTGAGGAAATCAGAAGCAACACTAGGAAACCAGGTAATATACTATATAAGAGAGCAAAACATTTGGCAAGTTAGAAACTAAAGGAAAAGGTAATAATTACATGAATCATGCACAGTGAAACAACAAGAATGTGATTTATCTATGAGAAGATATTGAGACTGTACAATGGGATCAAACCCGTGTTCATTTCTTACTCTGTCCATAATGTTACTATGTACTCCATGGCATAGCAAAAGAGATTATGCATAGAAAAAGCAACACATGCAATTTATTCCATTACAACAACATACAATAAATACGAATGAACAAGATTTTGATTATATGAAAATGTAACAACACACAATGATGGAATTGTAGCCATACCTGCTTGTGGGCAAACCGCAAGTTTCGGATATCTTTACAAAATATTTCAATACCATAGGAGTTTTCACCACGGCTAGTATTTGCACCACCCACTTTCTCTATTCTTGATACCTGAAATTGATATTTTATTGAAATATATATGAAGTAAATCTTATAAGTGAACAAATCAGCATGTTGTTATGGATCTGAAGATATCTTTTTAAATCTTACGAGTTAACCTTAACTCTCTTAACAAAAGATAAGAGTTCATAAACTGATGAATAGTATGAGCATTACAGGGAGGCTACTTATGCCTAGTAGGCCTAGGTACACAAAGTTCCCACATCATTTCTTTCTAACCCTTTCATAGATAGAGACAAAGGAACAATTTCAATATAAGACACAAGAGTTACATAAGCAAAACGTATAACCTTTCCCTTTCCAACAAAAACTGTACTTGCACACCCCATAATTCATTTATGGCAATCATAATGAAAATAATGAAACTCACCACACCCAATGGTACTTTTAATTCAAAAGGAGGATCACTGTCAGGACTCCGAAAGTATAACCGATAATTGGTGACTGACAGGGTGCCTTTTCTTGGACCTATATATGGGCAAAGGTACGTCACCTCTCGTGCTGTCCCCTCCATATGTTCCCCAGGAACTAGTGAAGGTTCATCAGGTCGTAGTGTTCTGGATCCATCTCGTACAACCAACTACAGGTATAGCCAAAAGAAGGAAAGTTCATTAGTATATATCAAAGAAATACTTTATTAACCTACTGATACTATTCACAATTATGAAAAAATTTTGAAAGACATTTCATATTTCAAAAGCATTCTACCAAAACATGGTTTTTCTTTGAAGAATCCTCTATTTACTCTTCTTAACCATTACAGTACAGTATAATTAATATGCAATTGCAGCTTCAATTTTGGCCAAATTTTGTATACTGGTATGTAATTTGGGCTCCACAAATGCACAGTGGAACCTTTAAAATCTTAAATATTTTAATAAATACAGTACAGATTTGTTAATGTATGCAATGAAATATAGATCATCGTATAGAAATTTTCACCAGATTGTATTTTTCCCATATTTTTCACATGTCAAAAATGGTAAGCCTAACTTTTAAATTAAGTTGAAAATGAATTTGCAAGAATGTATTTTCTTAGAATATAATATTGTACCATTTAAACAAAAACAGTACTGTATTGTATAATGAAATGTGTGCAAAATATTGTTCTTTCCTTGAATGAAGATATCTGGACTCTGTAATATACAGAGGCAAAAAGAGGCATTACTAATTTAACAACATGGCTCTCCACTTCAATTTCATATTTGGAACACAGCCATGTCATGCATTATACCCAAGATCAATAAACACATTATACATTCATAACATTCTGTAAACAAATGTCTTCATATTAGTAGCATGCATAAGTGCTGAGAGTAAACCTTTAACCCATTCCAAGTTCATGCCCCTATAACCTGTTAAATTTGTTATTTTTTTACTCATCTTAAAATAAGAGGCTTCCTTCCATTCTACGGTATTGCAGCCCATATTACTCACTTTTGAAGTGGCGTTGAGGACATGCGATAGTTGGTGGTGATGGTGTTGGTCAGTGGAGGTGGAGCTTGAAGAGCAGACGCTCTTAGGGGGGGAGGGTGACCCCGCCGAGGGAGACCCCGCCTGAACCCCGCATGCAAACAAAAGTAGAGTGTCAGACGCTAAGCTATGCAGCTGTAATATTATCAGATCTCTCTCAGTGTGTATAGAATACCTTGGAAATACTCAAGTGCTTGAAATGTTTGTTCTTGAGGAGGATAAATTATCTATTAATTTGCATAAAAACTGAAATATATCTAGCAAGGTTCACACACATTTGAAAATGGCATTATATTGCAGACTGCAAATAAAGAGCTACACTACTGTACTGTACTTAATATGTATTGATGTATGGTAACATTACAAGTATGTTTCCCAAATTTCCTTTAATGTACCTGTACACAATCATATGTAAAATAAAAATACAAAATAAAATAATAAAATTAATAAAAATACTGTACATGAATTTAAATACTGATAATTACAACTAAAATGCAGTTTAAAATTAATATTGTTTTATTTTATTATAAGTTTACGTATGATTGTGTGAAGAAAATATTATTATGATAAAATGACTATTGGGCCACCTTGTATTTGCAAAGGCATATACAAAGTCTGCATATACCAGCAAGTGAAGTTTTTTCCAGCAATTATATTCGTAAAAGCAACATTCATATCGTCATTTTTATTTTCAATGACTGCTCATTTTCTAAAAATTCAACATTGCCTACCAAACTTCATCTGATCATACATCCTATAGTCAAAAGAAATAGGCAGTTCATTTCAAAATGGAATGTAACCTCATTTGGCTATCCTCCTATTGTCTATGTTACATCATATGTTAAATATGAAATTATGCTAAAAAGTTAATGAGAGAGTCAGAGGGAGAGTGTTAGTAAATCAATTAATCTGCCAGAGAGACATACAGAAATTAGCTAACTTACACAACCAAAATAGCACAACATGCAAAAGAAACATTGCGAGTGTAAATGTTTGTGTCTTTCACAGCAGTCAAAAGGAAGTAGGCAGGTGTTCAAGCTACCTCAGGTTGCTTTGGTCAGAACTAACCTGCTACTTAATTCAATACACACTTCTGTTAAAACTAATGGTTAGATAATTAGTAAACAAACTCTTTTAAATCTTTTATTACAAATAGCAAAATGCCGGGTGTGAACCTTCCTTAATATCAACACCAATTTTATTTAAGAAAATTGTCATATACCATATTATATGGTGTATGACCATATATAAAATATTATATTTTCTAATATGACAAACACCATATTAGAAAACAAAATCAAAATAAATCTGATAATGCTACACAAAGATAAGCTCAAGAAGACTGGCATAGCTCAAGTAATATAATAAAGATATCAACTTGAAAGAAAATGAAGCATACGTATATGATTATGCTTGAAACTAAGTAAATGCTTAGCTAAATGAGAGATGAGCATCATTTAAAATGCTGATTAAATTTTGAAGACTGAGTACAGTATTAGTTTTCTAAAAATAGTAAGAAAGTAAGTTTTAGTAAATACTTAAGTAAACATTATTTATATTTATATATAAATACGTTATTTATATTTATATTTTCATTTACAAAATGAAATTATTTTGTATATAGTATTCTGCCACTTACGCCTTTTGCAATTGCTTCTGAAGATAGGTAAAGATATACACAAAACACACTAGGATTTTTACATTTCTGTTGCCTTTATGGTTATCTCATCATATTTTTTAAGAAATATTTTGTTTAATTTGGGATTCACACACACACACTTGTATTCAGCACATATGTACTGTAATACAGTATAAAACTTTATAAACAGTTTACCTAATTACAGTTAGCGTTAGTAAAATCACTACAGTATTAACAGGTTGACTGTTAGTATGACAAGTTTTTCATCTCAGGCATGATGCATAACACAAAGTGTGTACAGAGAATAAGGAATAAGTATACAATATTAGGTACCCCATGCACATTCATCATTTACTCACCGACTCATGCCCAAGTTTGGAATTGAGAGAGCTCGATTTTGATTCTGAATTTAGACTCTCATGAGAAGCCATCTGCACGTGAGGTGGGGTTCCCGGTGGGGAACTACCGTTACTACTGCTGCTGCCGCTATTGCTGCTGCTGCTGCTGCCGCTATTATTGCTGCGACTGCTGCTGCTACTGCCACTTTTATTGCTGCGACTGCTGCAGCTGCTGCTGCTCGTCCCACTGGTGCTGCTACTGCTACTTATACTGCCACCCTCACTAATGCTTTTAATCTTGCCTTTCTTTTCAATTCCCACGCCAGAGAACATAACCCTATAGAAGAATACAACACTGTAATACATATTTGACATCCTCTACAGCATAACACTCTTCGAAGTACAGAAACTCATACAAAATAAATACTGTAGGAACAAAAACTCACTTCATGAAAGATTACAATTGTTTCTGCTATACTGTATTCAAATTAAGCAGTTAAATTATAATTTGTATTATAATGTTAATACCTACAGTATGTATTGGTCTGTATTTATATCTGTGGTTCATTACATTAATTTATCTTCAAAATGATGCATGTTCATATGATGACAGGCTGACAGAGATTAATCCTCTATCACAGGTGTGCTATGTCTACATTATGTCAGTTATACTGAGAGTTAATGCCACTGAAACCAGCATTACTCTGTACTGGAATTTAATTAACAACACAAAACTCAAAGATCAATAAAGAAACATACACGAATTGTACGGTAGTGTGTACTAACAAAAATATTATACATATATACTGTATATATAATTTTGTTCTTATATACTGTATTATGGCAATAAAGTATTGTATAAGTAGTACCTTTATTCATCTCTGGCTTAATTCTAACATTAACACACAAATACGTCAATATATAAAAGGAACATTTTTCAGAATGTATTCAGTTTGGTCAAGGTAATTCTCTCACTATTAGATCTAATTCACTCTGTCAACACCAGTTCATCCTCAAAAAGTTAACCCCCTCTCAGTAACTTGATAACAAATAATAATTTAAAATGCAGTCTGATTTTAGATCATTATTCCTGAACAAGCCTAATATTTATATACAGTATTTACACGTACCAAGGTATAGAGAAACATCACAAATAGGGAGTATTTACTTAGCCCTATTGTATATAGCCATATTCTTCACAGGTTCATTAATCTTATCACTATTGTATATAACCTTATTCTTCACAGGTTCATTAATCTAATTTCACACTGTATTAACATTATGTAAAATCACTATATGTTAAAGAAAACATCCATCATGTTTTGTAGATGTAACAGTAGTATTCCAGAGAATAACAGTAATTCCACTGCTCATAATAATGCTTCTATATACTGATACTGTATATACTTTAGTTTTTTTTTACAGTTTAGCTATTTTTTATTACATTTGCTTACCTACAAGAGAAAACCTAACTGTGCTTCACAGGATTTAACAACTGAGGCACTGTGGAGCTGTAAGTTACATAATAATTTATAGTTAAAAAAAAAAAAAACTTAAGAAAAGTGTAAAAACCACACAGCCTAGTTACTTCAGTTAGTATCATAGTAGAGTAACTACTGTATATACTATTTATTTTCTATCAACTATTGGTTAGAGATTTGCAGTCTTATCATAAAGTCGGTGATGTGTAAGTGTATGTGTAACTTTGATATATTATATTCTGATTATGTCTTACCTAACCTTGCATACCTGTACATTATTTCTTTGTTAGATACAATATACAGTACTGTGTATTGTTTGAACCAATAATTTTCACTACCATAACTTTGTCCTTCCAGCCTGGATCAAAATTGCTCACTGAAGGATTCTGTGGAAATGTGGCCAGGAAATACCCCTATTCCACCTTGATAATGATTGTGAAAGGTGTGTACAGCAAATTATAATAGTACTGTAATGGTAATTTTTGGTACTAATTTCAATGCTTACCTTTATTTTATTTAACATCTTTCCCACTTGTAATTATATAACTAATATAGTAGGTTACAGTACTGTAGCTAGATTTATGTAGGTTAGTAAGATTTTTATTAATACAAACAATACAAATAAGACTAAAATTCTCCCAAAACTAAAACAGACTGAACAATGTTGGCATGAACATAACATCTGCATCTTTAAAATTAAGAGAAAAATATTCTGTAACAAAGTAATTTTGAAAATTGATATTGTTCATAATTTTAATCAAATACATTGATATTTAAATTACATATATACAGCAAAAGTTTGGAGCATCATTTCTTTAACATTTTGATGCAATGTATTGGTTATGTTCAGTCCATAGCTTTACCCAGTGACTAAATTACTAAATAAACAGCTTCAGATTATAAGGCAAATAAATATTTACAGTATTTAAGTTTGCCTTTCATGAAATGATACGAAAACAATCATGGGCACACACTGCAGCAAATGGATTCTAATACTCTGGAGAAAGCACGCCATTCCTCAGCTTTAGGGAAGTACTGTATTATGAGGAGGAAGCTGTAGAGCAAACACCAAATACCAGAAATGTAATAATAGATGTGCAAAATTGTTCACAATGAACACCAATATATGTGCAACCTCGAGACTAAGTTCACCCCAAGGAGATAGTTTCACTTTGTCTTGTACTCCAAGGTGCACATCAGGGCCCCAGGAACTTCTCAAATTAATATCCATGTCAGTCACCCCTTTAAACATACCTAACCTAAACTAACCTACACCAACTATTCTAACCTAAACCTAATGAAACCTTACATAATAGTTGACAAATTTTTCATTTATATATACTGTGTGGGAGGTGTGTGAGGGCTTAGAGTGAACTTTGAGTCAGTTTGTGCATCCTAGAGCAAGAGGAGCGAGTGCTCCAGCGTGCACATCAGTCAAGTGCTCCTCCACCCACATCCCGCCCACACTAAACACCATCACCCCCGCTATTGAACTGTGAACATATATCAAGGCATCCAACTGGTGGGAGTGGTGGTAGCAAGGGGAGGGTGCTTGCATTACTTGTGAGTGAGCGAGGGCAGCAGCAGCACTAGTGTTATGAGGGAGATTGTGAAGCAGTTGACACTTCCGTCCCGCTTTGGTGGTCTTCCGTCACAGTGTAAACAATGGAGGCCCCGGCAGCGGCGGCCGCCCGCAGGAACACTCCCTCGGGCACACCCTCTCCTGCCCTCCTCACACTCACTAACTCATACTCGCCTCCTTATATTCAATCTACTGTGGACAAAGAAAACGATTTCGGTTCAATCTGAAGCTTTACTCGCTTGATTTGGTAATGTGCCTTCATTGGCTGGCGAATTATCACCAACATTAATTTGTCCGTTGTTATTATTTTTTCTAGAGAAACAAATATTTTAAACTAAAATAAAAAATATATATATTAGTATATATATAAATCATTTCCTTGGGACGGCGTACTTTATGAAAATATATTGAAGAGCATACAAATGTTTCTGATTTTGGGTGGAACGAATCAGCTGAGCTGGAGACAGTAAATTTCACTTTAGGTTCTTCAATAATTTCAGCACAATTCTCTTCCCACGTTCACGGTAAGGTTGTAATATCATCTGTACTCTTGCATAAATATATTTTCTACGTAAATCTAGACGACTTAAGTGTTGACAAGGTGACTAATCAGTTTAAAGTCACTAAGGATATGATGTTCATTACGTATACAGTCAGTCTAGTAGCATCTCACATTAACCAAGAAGTTATACTTAAGTAAACGCTTAACAAATGTCAAGTAACCAAGCTGTCCGCACTGATAGGTTGCTGGGTTACCCCTCTCAACCCTCACACAAATACTGCCAGAGATGGGGTCACCAAACTGCTGTATAACGCGGGAGAAGGTTGGGTAGATTGGAGTTTCCTAGACTCAAAAAGTGCTACTGTAGACAAATTACACAAAATCTTGTGGGCACATTGATATAAGCAATTGGGTCACAGCTGAAAGGTCCTGGGAATAATTCTTGTGGTAGGATAGGAACGTTTAGATAACATTTCCTTTCAACTGATGCCTCTGTTTACCTAGCAGTAAATAGGTATTTGGGAATTTGACAACTGTTGCCGATTACACCATGGGGAAGGTGCCTAGGTGATGGTGCTACATAGTCTACCTGGCTTGGTGCTTATTTTGATAATTACTGTACTTACTAGGGAGTAAGTACAATTACTGTACAATTACTGTACAATTACTTACAATTACTGTACTTGGTCTAGGGAGATCTTGATAAACTGTAACAAGCTTCCTGTCCCCAACTATGGGAACCATAAGTTGAACCATAATGATCAGGAAACAGGTTCACAGTCAAAGGTGTCAAATGGAGAGATGTAATAACTAGGGTTCCTGAAGGCTCGGTCTTCTGCTGTTCCAAATCTATGGTAATAAACTATGTGAGGTGAGTTTATATGTTAATGTCTGCAAATGATGCAAAACTTTTAAGGATAACAAACACTGAGGGAGGTTTACAGATTGCTGCACAAAAACTGATAAATGTAAGTATAGTACAGTAATGGGCAAATAAATGATAAGAGTTCAACCACCAATGTTGTGGGACATCAGTAAACAATGACCTGTACAGCATTATTACTAAACTTTGGTCACGTCTGTCTCATCATCACTCTGTTGTCTTAAGATGCTATCTAGATTTACCAAACTTTGTTACTCATATTTACTCCTGCTCTCACTAATTTATCCTCATACTACCTCATCTTCACTCCCAAGACAGCGCATATTGATACTCATACAGTACTGTTGACTTATCATTCTCTTTACAGTACTTGGAAGTAATTATAGCCTGATTTTGTTTTAATTCCTAATTTACTGTGACTGCAGGTGGTCTTCATTTCATGATTAGCATACTGCTGTTGATATGACATAGTGAATTATTTCTACATGTCTTCCTTTCACCTACTTCAAACAACTCATTTCTTCAGAATGGCATTGGATGAGCATTTCATGATGAATCCTCAAACTTTTCAGTAGCTGTATTTCATAATTTACTGTTATGTCACCCAGATAGTATCTCATTAGTTCCTATATTCTTGTTAACAAATAATTCCAACTCAGTAAGCCTCTTCTATCTCTACACTCTACCATCTCTGGGCTCAACCTGTTCACAGATACAGGATAAATTATCTAATGTAAACCCTCAGTTTGATCTTGCAGGATGTCTGGGTTGCTCTTGGACGCAGGTTCGAATCCTCGTCACGGCCCTTGTGGATTTGTTTATGTCTGTCAAATTTGTCTTATCCAGCAAACCACTGTCATCTTCCAAGAGACTCACTTGTGGTTTATCATGAACTAGCATCTTTGATTACACTCAATTACCACCTAAATCATTGCCAAGTACTGTAATATTTCAGCATCAAGAATAGGTAGCTTCACAGAGAAATCCCATTAACGTGATATACCAATGAACAAATCCACAAGATCCTTGATGATTGTTCGAATCTATATGCTGGGTGTTCCCAGACGCGCTATAGTCGACTGCACCATGACATGGAGTCGTGGTGCAGTCGACTAGAGTGCACCGGGGAATACCCAGTGAATAGGTTTGAACCTGCGGGCCGCTCCAAGCAACAGCCTGGTAGACCAAACTCTCACAAGTCGAGCCTGGCCTTGGACCGGGCTTGGGGAGTAGAAGAACTCCCAGAACCCCATCAACCAGGTATCCTCATCAAGGCTCTTGTAGATTTGAAAATAGGTAGACTAGAAAATAAATTTATTGTTACTGCTGACAGGTAGATCTTATTTTGACATTGCAGAGAGACACTATCAATCAGAAGACAGGCCATAAAACTTCATAAAATTACTCTTTTTCATGTCTTGATAAGTCCTGATAAAAGTACACTGGCTTTATGCCATGTATGTCACTCAAGATATGGTCTTAAACTTCTGGCATAGTCACTGAAATTGACATTCCTTTTGTAAAAAATAATGCACATCTTCTGTTCTTAATGGTGACACTTAGTAGTTCTTGCCTCTTGCTCTTCAAAACTGTCTCATACACAGTCTTCTGTGACGTAATATTATGCAAAATATTCAGTTTTACCACACATTTGGCATTTAAGATTACAGTTTAATATATCATATCCATTTCTTGGTGTTAGTGTAATTGTTTTATTTGTATTTCCTGGTAGTACACTACTAGGCTTAGAAAAATTAATAGTTCTCATAGGTTTTTCTTGCGACCAAGGTAGGTAATTATCTTCAATTTATACCCACGTTTTGACAGCTCTTGGTGTTTAATTTCCTTGCTGCTTGTATGATGGCTTTTCTCCTTGGCTCTTATCTTTAAATCATTCCCAAGATTCCTTTGTCCCTCTGTTCATGTGAGCCACGCTTTCCGGGTGCATCACTGGTTCCTCTCTGATATACTATGATGTGATAATACCTGTGATATTCTATCCAATGAGATTTAAACATGTGATGTCACACCCCCAAGAAACATCTTTCTAAACCATTCCACAGAAACTCACTCTCCCAAACACAGTTTCAAATTGTTGGGGAGAGAAAACCTGTTAGGATTATTGAGGCTCCCAAGGTCCACAACTGACCTTTTCCAGGATGTAACCCACAGCATTTACACAACTCCTAGAGGCATCAGGTGAAAAGAAACTTGCCCAAACGTCTCCACCCTGCACATCCTCTTCCAAGAAATAAAACTCCCTCTCCCACAAGCACATCCTCCAACAAAACCTCCCTCAGACTAAAAACACCCAGAAATGCATCCTGTCACACACACACACTCTCCCCTCATGCATACCTATCATCAAATGCACACTCGCACAAAACTATCATAAAACAAGCACACCCTCCCAGTAATACTTTCTTTCCCAAACATGCCCTTAAACATTCCGCTACCACACACACATAATTCCCAAAAAAAAACTCAGACATGCCATTACAAATACAAGCTCCTGCAAAGAAAACTTCCTACAAAAACACTGATCTTAGACCTAGGCAGCAGTGTATATCAAAACTTGTTATTTACTCGGCGGTAAATACTTTGGTTTATAGCCTGAAACACCTGCAACAAATGTACAAACATTATCCTTCAATTATACAATAATATTTGGCTTAAGTGAGACCCCCCACTTAACTACACCGTCCAATTCAGGGCACATTATTAAAAAGTCAACATCGATTCCCTTAACAAAATCAGACATGAGATGAGCATACTGATTCCTGGCATTCGTGGAAGGGTTAGGGGAATCCGACCTGCATTCACTGCAGAGACATGGGTGAGGGAAAACATGATCAGGGTCTTCAGGTGGAGGAAAATATAAGCAAGATCTTGAAACATATATATATATATATATATATATATATATATATATATATATATATATATATATATATATATATATATATATATATATATATATGTGTGTGTGTGTGTGTAAATCACGAAAATAAACACGTGATTAAAAATGTGACAGTGTCAGACCACGGAGAAAAATTGAAACAGGAATTTCCTTAAGTACTTTCGTATATTAATAGATCTTCAGAAGGAGTGATTTTACAGGTCAAGTATTGGACATAAATAGGCAGGAGAGAATGGTGGAGTGAGGTGAGGTACAATAACAAATGAATGGGAATTAGTTTCAATTTTCCTCCGTGGTCTGACACTGTCATATATATATATATATATATATATATATATATATATATATATATATATATATATATATATATATATATATATATATATATATATATATATATATATATATATATATATATATATATATATATATATATATATATATATATATATATATATATATATATATATATATATATATATATATATATATATATATATATATATATATATATATATATATATATATATATATATATATATATATATATATATATATATATATATATATATATATATATATATATATATATATATATATATATATATATATATATATATATATATATATATATATATATATATATATATATATATATATATATATATATATATATATATATATATATATATATATATATATATATATATATATATATAATATATATATATATATATATATATATATATATATATATATATATATATATATATATATATATATATATATATATATATATATATATATATATATATATATATTTTACCTATTGTATTTTACCTTGCGACCCAGTAAAAGACGTCTTGCGACCAGTACACAGAAGAACCCTGCATGATGATGCTTA